AAACCCAACTAAGAGCACTGGCCCGGATAACATCCCGTCTAAGTTCCTAAAAGATGGTGCTTCTAAACTGTCAATCCCCATTGCTCACGTAATAAATTTATCCACCACTAATACCGTACCGGAGGGGTTCAAGGAGGCCAGAGTTACTCCTCTCTTCAAGTAAAATTGTAGGTCTGATGTAAGCAACTATAGGAAAAAAAACTGGCAGGAAATGGCAGAAATCGTACACCAAATCCAGTCATTCCTGGAGTGGAACCACAGTCGATGGCCTCCACTCCAAACCAACAGATACAGATACTAATGCCGGAAAAAAAATCCCCCCCCCCCCGTACCAACAATACCACCAGTCCGATAACATTCTTCTTTGCAAATATACAGGGTCTAAAGCCAGCAACAAACAACAAAATACCTTTCATCCGTGGCCTGCTTGCAGAGGCAAAGGCAATGTTCGCGGCTTTCACTGAAACCCACATAAAGGATCACTTGGACAACGAAATATGGATCCCAGGTTACAACCTATACAGATGTGACAGAGTGAACAGGCAAAAGGGATGGGGGGGTTGGCCTGTGCATTGCAGAGTCACTTGTTTGCACAGAACTGCTTAATGCCTCAAATGATGTAGTGGAAGTTTTAGCAGTAAAGGTCGAGAACCAAAACCTAGTCATTGTGGTAGTCTACAAGCCCCCGGATGCAACATCCCAGCAATTCCAGGAAACAGCTGTTAAAAATTGACCACTGTCTGGAAAATCTTCCAGCTCCTGCACCCAACATCTTGCTCCTGGGGGATTTCAACTTAAGGCACCTAAAATGGAGTGTGAGTTTTCATCGGAGCTGCCTCCTGGTGTTATTACTGCAACAATATTATTTGCTATATTAGCAAATAATATTGTTGCAGTAATAACACCAGGAGGCAGCTCTGATGAAAACTCACACTCACGCGAGCTTTTAAATCTCTGCACAAAATTCAATTTAAACCACCAAATAATAGAGCCTACTAGACTGGAGAATACACTAGACCTCATCTTTCACTAACAATGATGATCTGATAAGAAATGTCACCATATCAAAAACAATATACTCAGATCACAACATAATTGAGGTTCAGACATGTATGCGCGGAGCCCCAGACCGACATAATGAGATTAGTCACGAGGGAACATTCACCAAATTCAACTTCAATAACAAAAACATAAAGTGGGACCAAGTAAACCAAGTCCTAACCGATATAAGCTGGGAAGATATACTAAGCAACACAGACCCCAACTTATGCCTAGAACAGATTAACTCGGTGGCACTCGATGTAAGAAAAAGGAGGAGGAGATGTAAAATAGAAAGAGACAGGCGCTCCCTTTACAGCGACGAAAAAGAATAACAGAGCGGCTAAAAGAGGTCAATATATCTGAAATGCGTAGGGAGACACTGGTCAGAGAAATAGCAAGCATCGAACTTAAGCTTAAAGAATCCTTTAGGAGTCAGGAATCGCGGGAAGAACTAAAAGCCATAAATGAAATCGAAAGAAACCCAAAGTATTTCTTCTCCTATGCCAAATCAAAATCGAGAACAACGTCCAGTATTGGGCCCCTACTTAAACAAGATGGGTCCTACACAGATGACAGCAAGGAAATGAGTGAGCTACTCAAGTCCCAATATGACTCAGTTTTTGGCAAGCCGCTAACCAGACTGAGAGTCGAAGATCAAAATGAATTTTTTATGAGAGAGCCACAAAATTTGATTAACACAAGCCTATCCGATGTTATCCTGACGCCAAATGACTTCGAACAGGCGATAAATGACATGCCCATGCACTCTGCCCCAGGGCCAGACTCATGGAACTCTGTGTTCATCAAGAACTGCAAGAAGCCCCTATCACGAGCCTTTTCCATCCTATGGAGAGGGAGCATGGACACGGGGGTCGTCCCACAGTTACTAAAAACAACAGACATAGCCCCACTCCACAAAGGGGGCAGTAAAGCAACAGCAAAGAACTACAGACCAATAGCACTAACATCCCATATCATAAAAATCTTTGAAAGGGTCCTAAGAAGCAAGATCACCACCCATCTAGAAACCCATCAGTTACACAACCCAGGGCAACATGGGTTTAGAACAGGTCGCTCCTGTCTGTCTCAACTATTGGATCACTACGACAAGGTCCTAAATACACTAGAAGACAAAAAGAATGCAGATGTAATATATACAGACTTTGCAAAAGCCTTCGACAAGTGTGACCATGGCGTAATAGCGCACAAAATGCGTGCTAAAGGAATAACAGGAAAAGTCGGTCGATGGATCTATAATTTCCTCAGTAACAGAACACAGAGAGTAGTCGTCAACAGAGTAAAGTCCGAGGCAGCTACGGTGAAAAGCTCTGTTCCACAAGGCACAGTACTCGCTCCCATCTTGTTCCTCATCCTCATATCCGACACAGACAAGGATGTCAGCCACAGCACCGTGTCTTCCATTGCAGACACTGCAAAGCTCCAGGCGGGCATCAACCAAATCTTTCAGTGGGCTGCAGAAAACAATATGAAGTTCAACGATGAGAAATTTCAATTACTCAGATATGGTAAACATGAGGAAATTAAATCTTCATCAGAGTACAAAACAAATTCTGGCCACAAAATAGAGCGAAACACCAACGTCAAAGACCTGGGAGTGATCATGTCGGAGGATCTCACCTTCAAGGACCATAACATTGTATCAATCGCATCTGCTAGAAAAATGACAGGATGGATAATGAGAACCTTCAAAACTAGGGAGGCCAAGCCCATGATGACACTCTTCAGGTCACTTGTTCTATCTAGGCTGGAATATTGCTGCACACTAACAGCACCTTTCAAGGCAGGTGAAATTGCCGACCTAGAAAATGTACAGAGAACTTTCACGGCGCGCATAACGGAGATAAAACACCTCAATTACTGGGAGCGCTTGAGGTTCCTAAACCTGTATTCCCTGGAACGCAGGAGGGAGAGATACATGATTATATACACCTGGAAAATCCTAGAGGGACTAGTACCGAACTTGCACACGAAAATCACTCACTACGAAAGCAAAAGACTTGGCAGACGATGCACCATCCCCCCAATGAAAAGCAGGGGTGTCACTAGCACGTTAAGAGACCATACAATAAGTGTCAGGGGCCCGAGAATGTTCAACTGCCTCCCAGCACACATAAGGGGGATTACCAACAGACCCCTGGCAGTCTTCAAGCTGGCACTGGACAAGCACCTAAAGTCAGTTCCTGATCAGCCGGGCTGTGGCTCGTACGTTGGTTTGCGTGCAGCCAGCAGCAACAGCCTGGTTGATCAGGCTCTGATCCACCAGGAGGCCTGGTCACAGACCGGGCCGCGGGGGCGTTGACCCCCGGAACTCTCTCCAGGTAAACTCCAGGTATAGGCCTGTGAGTATACTCAGTATAATATCCAAAATTCTAGAGAGGGCGGTGTACTGTCAAGTAGTTAACTACCTTAATGACAACAACATTCTCCATAGCTATCAATCAGGCTTTAAAAGATCTTATTCAACCGACACCTCCCTAATTAATCTGATGGATTACTTGAGAACTGAAATGTCAATGGGGAACCCCATAGGTATGGTAACTTTAGACCTGCAAAAGGCGTTCGATATTATCAACCACAATATATTATGTAAGAAACTTCAACCTATCGCTATAGGCTCTGTAGACTGGTTTAACTTCTACCTTAGCAACAGGAGACAAATTGTCAAAATCAACAAAACGGAATCAGAACCCCTGCCGATAGCATGCCTATTATTGTCAAGTGCAAACTCCTACTGTATGCAGATGGCAGTGCTCTGTTAGTGTCAGGTAAAGACCCACAAGATATAGTTAATGTATTAACACTGGAACTGGAGTCCTGCAGCAAATGGTTAGTATACAACAAACTATCATTACACCTCGGGAAAACTGAAGCCTTTCTCTTTGGCACGAAACATAAACTGAGAAGGGTAAATAATTTTAATGTCCAGTGTAATGGGGAGCCCATCACTTCAGTTTCCTCAGTAAAATATCTGGGAATCCTCTTTGACCCATGCATGTCAGGAGATTTGATAGAAAACAGTGTAGTACAGAAAGCGAATGCCAGACTGAAGTTCCTCTATAGACAAGCACAGTGTCTACCTACTGAGGCTCGCAGGACCCTATGTCTAGCCCTTATACAGTGTCATATGGATTACGCTTGCTCTTCATGGTACTCTGCCTTGACAAAAAAAACTGAAAGATAGACTGCAAATCACCCAAACAAAATAGAAAGATTCATTCTGGACCTGGGTCCAAGACATCATGTAGGCCAGAATGAATTACAGCAGTTGGATATGTAGAATGTTGAAGCCAGAGTAAAACAACTGAAGCTCTAATCATGTTTATAAAATTGCTCACAAACAATGTCGAGAATATCTTGCTGCCAATTTTGTCAAGGTTGGGAACCAAAGCAATCATAGTACTAGGGGGAGAGAGCACAACTTTGTGGTACCCACAGTCAGTGGCCAGGCTTCAAACACCTGCTGTGTATGATAATCTACGTAACTGTATTTGTGTATACCTGAATAAACTTACTTAGTGGCATGACCTCCAGGTTGTTGTGAGTGGCATGACCTCCAGGATGCTGTGAGTGGCATGACCTCCAGGATTGCTATGAGTGGCATGACCTCCAGGTTGTTGTGAGTGCATTACCTCCAGAATGTTGTGATTGGCATCACCTCCAGGATATTGTGAGTATTAGCTACAATAAAAATTATTTCTTATAAGAAGAATGATTAACTTTATAAATATTAAATAATTCTGTATAAGTAACTTCACAACATATGCTCTTTTTATAACAGTTTACAAAGTATAATGACAATATACACCCAAGAGATGTGTCTCAGTACATGTGTTGAATTTACTTTAATCTCAGTTTTAGAGATCAAAATTGTCTTAACTGATTGTGAACAAGTTACATAGTGTTATCTGGTGTAGCAGACAGACTTTATACACATCACATCAAGGAACTTTCACCTGTAATACATGATAATTTAGTCAATATTAACCTTCCGCAATTGTTTCTTTATCATTACTTTCTGGCTTTGTGTCATATATCTCTGCAATATAGTGCATCACAAGATTCAGTGTGTCATATATCTCTGCAACATAGTGCACCACAACATTCAGTGTGATATATATCTCTGCAACATAGTGCACCACAACATTCAGTGTGTCATATATCTCTGCAACATAGTGCACCACAACATTCAGTGTGTCATATATCTCTGCAACATAGTGCACCACAATATTCAGTGTGATATATATCTCTGCAACATAGTGCACCACAACATTCAGTGTGTCATATATCTCTGCAACATAGTGCACCACAACATTCAGTGTGTCATATATCTCTGCAACATAGTGCACCACAACATTCAGTGTGTCATATATCTCTGCAACATAGTGCACCACAACATTCAGTGTGTCATATATCTCTGCAACATAGTGCACCACAACATTCAGTGTGTCATATATCTCTGCAACATAGTGCACCACAACATTCAGTGTGTCATATATCTCTGCAACATAGTGCACCACAACATTCAGTGTGTCATATATCTCTGCAACATAGTGCACCACAACATTCAGTGTGTCATATATCTCTGCAACATAGTGCACCACAACATTCAGTGTGTCATATATCTCTGCAACATAGTGCACCACAACATTCAGTGTGTCATATATCTCTGCAATATAGTGCACCACAACATTCAGTGTGATATATATCTCTGCAACATAGTGCATCACAACATTCAGTGTGTCATATATCTCTGCAGTATAGTGCACCACAACATTCAGTGTGTCATATATCTCTGCAGCATAGTGCACCACTAAAGTCTTACAAGACACACTACAGTCTTACAAGACACACTACAGTCTTTCAAGACACACTACAGTCTTACAAGACACACTACAGTCTTTCAAGACACACTGTAGTTCAAGACACAGTGTAGTCTTACAAGACACACTACAGTCTTACAAGACACACTACAGTCTTACAAGACACACTACAGTCTTACAAGACACACTACAGTCTTACAAGACACACTACCATCTTACAAGACACACTTCAGTCTTACAAGACATACTACAGTCTTACAATACATACTACAGTCTTACAAGACACACTACAGTCTTACAAGACACACTACAGTCTTACAAGACATACTACAGTCTTACAACAAACTACAGTCTTACAAGACACACTACAGTCTTACAAGACACATACAGTCTTTCAAGACATGTGCAACACACTGAAAGTCTTACAAGACACACTACAGTCTTACAAGACACACTACAGTCTTACAAGACACACTACAGTCTTACAAGACACACTACAGTCTTTCAAGACACACTGTAGTTCAAGACACACTGTAGTCTTACAAGACACACTAGTCTTACAAGACATACTACAGTCTTACAAGACACACTACAGTCTTACAAGACACACTACCGTCTTACAAGACACACTACAGTCTTACAAGACACACTACAGTCTTACAAGACACACTACAGTCTTACAAGACATACTACAGTCTTACAAGACATACTACAGTCTTACAAGACACACTACAGTCTTACAAGACACACTACAGTCTTACAAGACACACTACAGTCTTAGAGACAGACTACAGTCTTACAAGACACACTACAGTCTTACAAGACAAACTACAGTCTTACAAGACAAACTACAGTCTTACAAGACACACTACAGGCTTACAAGACACACTACAGTCTTACAAGACACACTACAGTCTTACAAGACACACTACAGTCTTACAAGACACACTACAGTCTTACAAGACATACTACAGTCTTACAAGACATACTACAGTCTTACAAGACACACTACAGTCTTACAAGACACACTACAGTCTTACAAGACACACTACAGTCTTACAAGACACACTACAGTCTTACAATCACACTGTAATCTTACAAGACACACTACAGTCTTACAAGACACACTACAGTCTTACAAGACACACTACAGTCTTACAAGACACACTACAGTCTTTCAAGACACACTGTAGTTCAAGACACACTGTAGTCTTACAAGACACACTACAGTCTTACAAGACACACTACAGTCTTACAAGACACACTACAGTCTTACAAGACACACTACAGTCTTACAAGACACACTACAGTCTTACAAGACACACTACAGTCTTACAAGACATACTACAGTCTTACAAGACACACTACAGTCTTACAAGACACACCTACCTTTCTTACAAGACACACTACAGTCTTACAAGACACACTACAGTCTTACAAGACACACTACAGTCTTACAAGACTACTACAGTCTTACAAGACACACTACAGTCTTACAAGCCCACAACCTACCGTCCCGTCTTACAAGACACACTACAGTCTTACAAAACACACTACAGTCTTACAAGACACACTACAGTCTTACAAGACATACTACAGTCTTACAAGACATACTACAGTCTTACAAGACATACTACAGTCTTACAAGACACACTACAGTCTTACAAGACATACTACAGTCTTACAAGACACACTACAGTCTTACAAGACACACTACATCCGTCTTACAAGACACACTACAGTCTTACAACACACTACAGTCTTACAAGACACACTACAGTCTTTCAAGACACACTACAGTCTTTCAAGACACACTACAGTCTTTCAAGACACACTGTAATCTTACAAGACACACTACAGTCTTACAAGACACACTACAGTCTTACAAGACACACTACAGTCTTACAAACACACTACGCCCTTTCAAGACAC